AGCTCCCCGCATAGAAACGACACACCTTCGGTCTCTCCTCCCGTCCCTGACCACCCCCCGCCCTCCCAGGTGATGTTAGGCGGGGAGGCGGACATGAAGGATCAAGTGCACAGACAAACCTCAAGACCTGAGTCAAATCTCCCCCACCGGCTCGGAAAGATGGACACGTTTCCGTGTGGAGCATGGAGCCCCTTCCGCGAAGTCTGCTACGAAATTCTCAAGCCAACTGGCAGGTGTCTCGTTCTGTGACCCACCACACACCAGGGACCTCAAAACTGCAAAGCGAGCGAAGGTGGGTGGGTGAGGGGGCATCTCCAGGAACGAGGCACCTGCCCAACGTTACAGCGAGAAGGCAGCCGGGTCAGGACGGCGGCCAGTGAACTTCGACATCGTGGCTCCAGGAGGCTGGGGTGCCGCACGGGACACTCACTGGCCTGAAATGACAGAAGTGTAAAAACCAGGGAGTAGAGAGAGCCTCGGGCAGCACGGAACGCAGGGTGCGGGCTGCGTTCCCGCTCTGCTCCCGCAGCCTTGGTGTGGGGGCCAGGCGAAGAATGCAGCATCTCCCCTTTGAGTCCCAACACAAGTTCTAGAAAAAGGGGTTTGTGTCGTCGCAGCTTGAGTGGCTTGTTTATTCCCCGCCCAGCTCCTACGGCTGCAGGGAACAGCGCTCCGGTGCAGGGAACCGTAAACTCCACGGACGCCGGGGACCCGCGTGGGCGAGGCGGCGGGGCTCTAACCCCAAGGACACGGAAGGGGGGCAGGTGAGGGCCTCGCGGGGCAGGGCAGCCCCCACACACCTCACACCTGCAGCCCAGGGCCCCCCCAGACCCCAGCTCTGCGAGTTGATTTGTATAACGTAAGGGACTGCACAGCAAAGCACAACCAAAGCTCCCAGGCTCCGGAAACCCCCGTCACGCTTATTTACACTCACTTCGCTCTGTCTCACGTACCCTTTTGAAAATGACAACCAAGCACTGTGAGGCGGTCGTACGTTTGAGTCACTGTCATGAAAGCAGTTTCTGTAAAAATAAACAAACCGCACACAGGATGGTTTGCTCCGAAGCCGGAAGGAAGGAAGGAAGCTCAAGGGAAAGGCACCGTCTAGTGCCTGCGGTGGGCACACAGGTTGCCGGACGCCGGACCAAGGATGTGGGAACCCTGCTCCACGGCTGCGAAATTACCTTGTCTGTGAGAGAAGTAAGGTGTCCGAAGCGCGGACGCTATTCTGCACCTTTAAAACAAAAAGCCGAGACCTAAGTGCAGACAATGAGAACATTCATCAAAGGGATAGATACACAGACAAAGGGATAGATACATGTCATTTCCCGTGCCTGCTCCTGGCTTAACCCCGGAGGCTCAAATCTGCAGCTCACGACGGGTGCCGTCCGCGCATCCACGGCCACCGTGCTCCAGTGACACCAGCAGATGCGGCTTCCTTCCCGCTCCTGGGACCCAATACGGCCACCACGGGCTGGACTTTACAGCCGATACGTCTTGGTGACATCCCAGTAAGCAGAGAGGACAAGTCCCCCAAACGTATCATTTATGATATCATATCACATGAAAGAAAGACGTAGTTTAGGGTGGCGCACAGGTGTCATCAAAAAGAGTAAAGAGTAAAGTAAGGGTACTGTTTTCTTGGGTTGGACGGGAGGGGAGTGCCTTCGATGAACAAAACTGTTGTCACATTTTAAAATACTGCAAACACACAAATGTCCATTGTGACAGGTGTCTTACGATGGAGGTCTACCCATCTAGTCTATTTCTCAGCAGAAATTTTGTTGCGTCCGACGTAGAGCCGGGTTTGAGCTGCTTCAGGAGAGATGGAGGGGACGTAAGGGGACAGAGAGATCTGTTTGCAGGTTTCAAAGAAAAGAAAGGGCTCCTTGGTTACAAGCTGGAGTTCTTTCCCAGCATGATCGTCGCTCTCCAACAAATTCCTTGAATAACAGAATGTTAGAGCAGAAAGAGACCTTGGAGGTCTGTTGCAACCTCTATATTTTGCTGACAATGCAACTGAAGCCCAGAGAGGTTGTGTGCATTTCCCAATACCACACAGCTAGCAGGAACCAGGCCTCAACTCCCAGCCCAGAGCTTATGAAGCTCACTCGCTGCTGCCTTCCAAATACAATTCAAGATCGGAACTGTGTCCAGGGCCTTGCTGTGTGCAGCCTTGTCGACATTCAGCTGAAACTTGCAAAACACCTGCCAAAAGCCTAGGAAAGAACAGTCATCTGTGAAATCAGAAACAGAACAGACGCTGTTTATGGTACAGCTTTATTCTGTCCGGGACTGAACGGAATTGAGGGCACATGGAAAAGACATCTTTTCCTTATGAAATGTTCCGTGAAATTATTTCCACCCCATGAATCCATTGGCATTAGATCAATTATATTAGAGTTGGATATAAACTGTTTTTATTAACAGTCACAAGATAGGTTTAAATATTCGTTATTGAACGGTGACAAAAATGTGGCTTCAGAAAAGAGAAAAAACGGCCCATGATGTTCAATATTCATGGAAAACAAAACAAAATGATACTGAATGTGAAGAAGCAGGTAACACATGATCAATCTAGACCCATCATTTACATTTTAAAACATGTTAGGCTATGTTTCAGATTCTGTGTCTCCCTCTCTCGTTGACCCTCCCCTGCTCACACTGTCTCTCTCTCTCTCTCAGAAATAAATAAAACATTAAAAAAATTAAAACGCATTAGGCTAAACATTTTGCTGTTAGAGGTGCGCAAAGGTTTCATCAAGGAGAAAGCGTCAAGGATTTGCTTTGCCTGGATTTGAAAAACTTGCAACTTTCATTCAAAGTGAAGATGATGTATGGCCTGTTGCCCTTCACTGACTCAGCCCTGACCTTTGATGATTGGTCAGCGTGCCTGCGTCCATCACAAGGGATAGACGCTCTCAGGCTTGATTATGTAAGGAGGCGCCGGCTCGCGTATGCGTGAGAGGCAATGAGGACCTTGAATCTCAGAGACCCTTTAAAAAATCCTAAGCGGGCCAGCTTGTATGCAGGTCAACTGCATTGTCACCCAAGGGCGCGCAAAGGTCCCACACTGAGGGACCCTGGGACCCCCTCCTTATTAACATAATTCAACTACTCAATATTCTATCCGCCCCTTCCCTTCTCTTCCTACTGGCTTGGCCTTTCTTTGATTTCCAATATAATCATGAGGAGAGGGTTTCTGGTAGACCCAGATCATAGCATCAATTTGTCACATGTGAGTGGAACCTGGGGCATTGACTCGTGTCACAGACCTGTGGGCAGCCTGTGAACGGGCCACCCCAGGCTGAGGGGCCCAGTCTGGGCCGAAGGATCTGGGCCTGGGACTCGTACTGTGGCTGACAGACCCTGGCCGCCCCAGAAATGGTGGCCTTTTTCTTGAGGGACTATGGATACACCAGACTTGTGACTGATTTGTCTCACGTGTGTATTAATTTAAGGAAAGACACACATTCCTTATGGAGATGCAAGAAAAAGCCTTGGTGCGCAGCGTTCTGTAAAGGGTATTGCTTATCTGGCCTCGGCGCATCAGTCAGGTACCTGTGCTGTTCAACTAGTAGCTCTTCAGTTCAGAAGTATTTTTGTAGTAATATGTTGAAGTACCTACAGTAAAGAACGAATCATACCCACAGAGGGCTGGCCTTTGCCCTGGGCTCCTGGAAGAGCACCTCTAAGCCCCTGGAATGTTCTTCCTGATAAAAGTATCTGTTTACCTGAGGCCTCAGGCCACACTGATAGTCTAAGTGTAAGTCAAGGTGGCGGCTGTAAGCCATGTGGTATCAGTCAAGTTCAAGAGGGTCTGGAGACTAAAGGTCGGGCAGGCCGATGGTCAATTATGATGGAATCCTCATAAAAATTTCCAAATGCCAAGGCTCCAGAAGCGTCCCTGCTCGGCAAAACACCATGAGTGTTGTCCCTTGTCATCTCTAGGCGAAGCCAGCCCTGGCCACAGCTCCAGGGACAGGATACTGCCCCCAGGCCGCTCTTCCCTCATCTGACTTTGATCTCTGTCCCTCTGTTGTCACAAAACACAACTGTGAGCAAAACATCCTTCCGAGATTCTGCGAGTCCATCGAGGGCATGACCAAGTGTGGGAGTGCCTCGGGGACCCCAAGCTCCGCAAAGCATTGTTGTCCTTTATTGGACGCCTGTCATTTAAACGGCTAACAGAAAGAACTTCAAGTCAAACGCGTGTGCAGTTTAGCCAAACGACAAACAGAAGCACACGCAGAAGCCGGGCGAATCTCGTTTCCCCGTCCAGTCTCGCTGGGGAAACGTCCGAGGCGGCCAACGTGTCTCAGTGCCTTGTCCCGGCTCCTGGGAAGTCCTTCCCTGTGATCCTCGCCATTCTGTGTGGACATTGTTACTTTCTTGTATTCTCCTGTCCGCAGTTGCCGGAACGTTTATTTCCCTTCTTCCCCCCAGGCAGTTGTCCGACAGTTACCCTCAAAGCACGAGTCTTCAACAACTCAGCCACCTCCTTTGCTGCGTTAGCCACTGACTCTGAGCCAGCAGCTACGGCTCCCTTCCACTCTGGAACCCCGCCTCTGCCCAGCGCGCCCCCGCCGGGTGCCTGTATGTCTCTGCCCCAGGCTGCCCCTCTTACATCACGCTGTAGGGGAGGGCGTGCATAGGTCCTGTCTCTTTCAGGGGACAAGTCACTTCCAGGCGGCTGAGAGACCGCTGACTGAGTGTCTCCCATTGCAGGGGAAGTCCCCGCCACGTCAGCACTTCTGAACTACCCTGCGTTTCTCTGATTTCCATTTCTGCTGGATTGAATTTTTTTCTAAAATACCAAAAAAAGAAAAGGAATTCTTAGATAAAAAATAGGGAAGCCCTACATTTCTATTTTATTTTTTTTTACTATTTATTTATTTATTGAGAGAGAGAGAGACAGAGAGAGAGAGAACATCAGGAGGGGAGGGGCAGAGGGAGACAGAATCCCACGCAGGCTTCACACGCAGCACAGAGCTCCATCTCATGACCGTGAGAACATGACCGGAGCTGAAATCAACAGTCAGATGCTTAACCGACCGAGCCACCCAAGCGTCCCAGGAACCCTACATTTTTAATATGCAATTCAAAGAAATAATAGTTGTGTTTGAATGTTATAAAAGTTTCTAAACTTCCCCACCCAATTTCTACACTCAACTTTTAGAAACTTTTCGGGTTCTAAACTCTTAATTTCAATACTTTACCCTCTATACGCTCCATTTTAGACTTGTTACAGGCCAGAAGCAGGCTGTTCATGGACCACACTGAGCAGCACAGAACACACTTCTTGATGATGATACATGAACACGGCCAGAGCAGGGGACCACTCACCCCTTCACACTGCTGTGCTCCCATTCAGGAAGGCTCCACGTTCATATTTCCCATCGTTAGAGACCAGGCCTACTGAATGAAAATAAACCACAATTTGAAATTCAGTTTCATTTCACATAAGAACTGATCATGGACAAGCAATTGAGTCCTAACCAGGTTCTCCAATCAAGTACATCTGTCTGTAAACCCACTGCATTCTGATCCGGAGGCTAAGTGTTTACAAGGCAATGTGTGAGGTCTCTTGAAATTCACAGAGATAATTACAAGGCGATTGATCAGATCGCCAATTAGTTGGTCCAATTTACTTAAAATATCAACCAAGACAGCTCAGCAGGTCCCATGGTTACATCTATATTTTATCTGAATTTTAGCTTGATGTTCCTCTTATAATATTCTTGGAATATGAATATTTGAAAGGTCTCCTAAAAGCAAAGATCTGTGTTGAAAGGGTTTGTACATAACTTAGGCTGCAAAGAGAAAGCCCTAGCTGGGATATATTCATTTGGTGGTTAGATGATCTAATACAAATTAATGAATCCACGTACAGCAATGAGCATGAAGAACCATTTAATGGAAATTAGCGGAGATCGTTACAATGGGCTACACCTTTATTCCTAGTGGGAAAAACTCCATTAAGTCGGAATACTTTCTGACTACGCCATCTGTAGTCTGATACAGTTTATGTTAACGTCATGACCAGAGTGTCAGAAAGTACTTGGGAAGCCTTGCTAAGTGCACTTCCTGAGTGGACACCCTCTAGTGTGGACAAACCACTGGAAGAAGGGTGCAAATGAGGATGCCCAACCACACTCTCATTAGGGGAAAATACCGTACGACTGACTACAAGAGCGATTTGTGGGACACTTTGATTAGCACTTCAGACATATTCCTAAATCTCCTTAAATTTCAGCAAAATTGTATGAGACAAGTTCTATTATGATTAGACCCATTTTATTTTTCAACGGTGGGTAGTTTTATGCAATGTAGTTTCAAGGGCTGATCACATGTCTGGAAAAGTCTATTGTAATCTATTCCTTCGGGCTAATTGCAACTATCTCTAAAATATCAATTTCAAATTTAAGTATTTCCAAGAGAAGGAAGATCTTTAGCATGTGTCAACATTGTGAAGGAATAATGAATCATAAGCAGTTGTGCTCTGTTTATGTGGATTTTAAAGAGGCATTTCTTAACTAAGGAGTAGCCCCTGTATGAAATCTGTTGGGGATAATTTAGATGATGGGGAGGGCAATTATCATTACAGCAGTAGTGATGGGTAATAGTAGCTCTAAAGCTTTTAAAAGTACCAGTTAGCTTTCTATGTAAAACAACTATGCTGAAGACTTTATATTTTCTATGAGGTACGTAAGAGGAAACTGAATTGTTAAGAATTTAGGCGATGGAAAAAAAAGAATTTAGATGATGTGCTGAAGGTCAAATTGTTCCTAAGTGGGGGAACTTTCCTGACTTGCAAACCTTTATTCAATAATCCTAAGAAATTGGTGGACATAATATTTTATTCATTCCGATCAAAAGCAGTTGGGTCAGATGAAGAACTATTCTAGGAATAGAGGCGATGAAGCAATGTGGGCATGAAGACAAAGGACATCCAACAGCGTCTTCCTCATCTCAAGGGGAACCAGAGAGGACAGGGAGGAAGAAGAGAAAGGAAAGAGGAGGAAGGAGAAGAGAGAGGGTAGCGGAGAGAGAGAGAGAGAAAGAGAGGAGTAATACAAAGGGCATAGAGATGGGGAATTGATCTCAGCTTACACTGGTGTTTTCAGGGATTAGCAAAACCAGTCAACAACCACAAAACAGAAATCACCAAGCGCTCTCTACGTGCTAGACATGGCCCTGGGAACGGGTGGCACGAATATAAATTAGATGCACTCCCTGCCTTCAAGGAGCCCCAGAGAAAAGGAGGAATATAGATCTTTCCTAGCAAAATTAATGCAGAAAAGCAAAAGCTGTGAGCAGCATACTTTATAAATTCAAACAAGAAAGGAGCTGAGGCTTTTCTGTTTCATGTTCCATGAATCTGTTGGGGAGTGTGTCCATAGAAATGGTACACGTGCTGACTTGATGTAACTACTGAAACAATAGACACATGAAAAAAAGTAGTTTCATAAAGATGTAAAGTGAAAGATAAATGTTCTCTATCCCTCAGAGTCATTCTACCCCCTACAGATAACCATTCTTTTTAAAAAAAAAAAAATTTAATGTTTACTTATTTTTTAGAGAGAGAGACAGCATGAGCAGGGGAGAGGCAGAGAGGGAGGGAGACACAGAATCCGAAGCAGCTCCAGACTCTGAGCTGTCAGCACAGAGCCCGACGCGGGGCTCGAACCCACAAACCCCATGATCATGACCTGAGCCGAAGTCAGACACTTAACCTACTGAGCCCCCCAGGCGCCCCACAGATAACCATTCTTAACAGATTTCTACGCTTCCGGGGATCTTCAATTGCTATAACATCTATATCTGTATTTATATTTTTATTTTAAAACGTTTTAGTTTTAAAAAAAGGATCATACTGGTGGTTTCTTAAAAAATTAAAAATAGAATTACCACAGGACGCAGCAATTCCACATCTGGGTCTACACCTCAGCGTCTCAAAGAGATATTTCCGCACCCGTGTTCACATCAGTATGATTCACCACAGCCAAGTCCTGGAGGCATCCAGTGTCCAGGGACAGATCAACGGATAAGAAGACGTGCGAAGGAGGTTCTGACCCCGGCCGCACTGCGGGGGGGCCTCGAGGACGTTACGCTTGGGCAGCAAGCTGGATGCAGAAGACCCTCCTCGTACGACTCCATCCACAGGAGGAACTTGGGGCGTCGAATCCCTAGACACAGAAGTGGAAGGTGGCCGCCAGGGGTGGGGGAGGAGAGGAACCCGGCCGGACGCCGCGGCAGCCACACGATGAAAGTACTTACTGCCACAGAGCGGCAGACGTAAAAATGCGCAACATGGTAACTTTTCTGTTATATGTATTTTACCAACATTAAAAAAAATTGGGGGGCGCCTGGGGGGCTCAGTCGGTTAAGCGTCCAACTTCAGCTCAGGTCATGACCTTGTGGTTTGTGGGTTCGAGCCCCTCCTCCACTCACGCTCTGTCTCTCTCTCTCAAAAATAAAGTAACATTAAAAAAAATTTTTTTTTTAAATTTAAACAAGGATTATACATTTCACAGTTTGCTCTTTTTGGACAGCACTGTCGCTGGGCCGTCTTGTCACGGGGCGCACGGAGCTCTGCTCCCTGGCATCACACTAGACTATCGCAGGGTTAAGAGTCTGCGGACAGCAGGGGTGGCCCGGGCCCAGCACACCACCCGAGGAGCCACTTTTTCAGAGATCACAGGAGGCGCGGGCTCCTGCCCCCAGGCAGCTGGTCCCACCCAGGCAGGGGGGCGTCGGGCGTGTAGCCCATACCCTGGACCAAGGTGCCGGCAGCGGCTCCTGGAGGTGCTGACAGCCTCTCTGTGATCGGGGCTGGGTCAGGAAGGGAGACCAAGAAATAACACTGCTCCCCTGGGCTCCAGCTGTTTAATCAACCGGCTGTGCTCTTAAGGATGGCAGACACTTCCAGCACATTCCATGAAGCGAGTGCATAACAATCTGCCCTGTGCGTGCAGTTCTGCGGTGTTGTGTGTGTATGTGCGTCTGGTAAGCTGCGAGAGGTAAATGTGCCTCTCTCAGGAATGGGTACTGTTTTACCTTTTCTTCACACTGCCGAGAAGCGCTCTAAAAGATCCGCAGTGGCCCATGGTCCCGCCAAATGTGAACGACTGGGCTGCTCTAGACACAGAAAACTTTCAAACACTTACACCTTCGCCAACAGGATCAGCTAAAAATGGTTTCACATTTTTATTTTATTTTTTTAATGTTTATTTATTTTTGAGAAACAGAGAGAGACAGAGTGTGAGCAGGGAAGGGACAGAGAGAGAGGGAGACACGGAATCCAAAGCAGGCTCCAGGCTCCGAGCTGTCAGCACAGCTGTCAAGCACGTGGGGCTTGAACTCGTGAACAGTGAGATCATGACCCAAGCCAGTCAGAAGCTTTAATTTTTGTTTCCTTAGTTATGAGTTTGAGGGTCTTTCATTTTTTAATTGGTCATTTGTAATTCTGTTTTTGAAATAACTTTGCCAATTTTTTTATTATTTGCATTTTTCTTAGAGATTTGTAGAAATGCTTTGTGTACTAAGGACTTTGCCTGTCATGTGATTTGCAATTACTTTTTCTGGTCTGTTGATCTTTTGACTTTGTAATGACACTTTTGTTGTACACATATTTTTTAAATGAACCAGTTGTTTTTTTCCATGGATTCCAGATTTTCATATCATACTCATAAACAATTCCAAATTGTGTTTTAAACTTACCCATCTTTCTATTATGTTTTTATGAGCTCATTTTATACGACACTCATTGACCCATCTGGAATCTCTTTTGTTGTAAAGAATGGGTGGTAACTGGACGGACTGACTGCAACATCATTTCTTGAATAATCGTCACTTGCCTGTGTGATTTAAAATGCTTCCCTTATCATGTGGGAAAGTTCCATATGTTCTGTTGTCTATTTCTGGGCACGGTGTCTGGGGTCCCCGAGGTCAATCTGTCTGTTCCCTCTCAAGCAGGACCCGCCTGCGCTGGTTTCCGGGGCCGCCGTAACCACGGGCTCACACAGCCCTTTACTGCCTCCCAGTTCTGGAGGCTGGAGTCTGAGACCCAGGCGTGGGCAGGGCTGGTTTCTCCCGGGCGTGTAGACGCCGTCCCCTTCCTGTGTCCTCATGGGACTCCCTCCGTGGGAGTCTGTGTCCTGACCTCCTCCTCTTCAAAGGGCGCCGGCCAGATTGGATCAGAGTCCACTGTAGTGACCTCATTTTACCATAATCACCTCCATAAAAACCCCATCTCCAAATATAGTCACCTTCCAAAGTCCTGGGGGTTCCTGGGGGTTCAGCATATGAGGTTGGATGAGACACAACTCAGCTCATAACACCATCTTATAACCAGAGACGAAAGATGGCCCCAGCGGAAAGATAAAATCAGGAAGAAGGGAAAAGCCCGTCTGGGGAAACCACGATGACTCGGGTTATGCACCACCTGCTGTCAGGGCTCGGCTAATGATCTCAAATGGATATCCCAACCCTTCGTTTCTCTGGGCATTTATTAGACAAGAACACAAATTCACATCGGGCAGTGTGAGTCGGAAGGCCCAGCACACCAGATATCTGCTTCGAGCTTGTCCGGAAGGCCAGATCCGGATAGACCCGCCACACGCGAGCTGGGGCGGGGGGCGCGATGGCAGAGAAGACTGATACTCACACGTGATGTGCAGAGAGCCCTCAGGAGCCCGCGCCTGGTTTCCGCCTGGTTTCTCTCATCCGGTTCCTGATTCCTAGTTCTCTCCGCTCTTGCGTCTGTATTTAATATTTGAGTTGAGACCTCCCCCAGCTTTGTATTTTCAAACTCAGGTCCCCTAAGGATGCGTTCGTTAGATACGGGGCCACCCTGAAGGGCCAGGTCCTGCCCATCACGATCTACTTCTGGCGCAAATGTATTTGTCTCATGACCCAAAACATCTTCACCGTTTCCCCAAGAAGTGTATGTCAACAAGGAAATGACTCCTTCTTTGTCAATATTATCAATAAAGGAGTAATTATAATGCTTGGTAGGTTGAGAGCTGTGTTGAAATGAACCTACTTTAACGATGATATGTTCTTGGAATTAAAAAAAGAACCAATTCAAAGAACCAATTCAGAAGTAACAAAAACAGCTTTTCCCCCACTGAGCTTTATGTTGTATAAATATGTTCTCGCCTCTGCTTGTTCCCACTAAAAAGACATTTCACTGATGAATATTTATTTCACTGCCACGGATCATAATGGATAAAAATGCCAAATAAATGCTATCATGGGCATTCTTTCCCCTCCTCCCTCCTCTGATATGTACCCGTTTGTTCTCGCTCTAACTGACGGGTCTTTGTTTCAATGCTCCAAAAAGTGATGTCTGTAAATTCAATTATAATATTCATTTCCTTCTATTTCTGGCATGTCAAAATTCCTCCTTCCAACAAATAAGCTAGAATACTCTACAATGTTTTGCTGAAAAGACCAACAGTTTGCCACAAAACTTGACATCTGTGCTAAGAAATTGTGATTTTGACCAGTACGTGAAACTCAAGAAGCAGCTCAGGAGAAAAGCCCTGGGCGGGGGGGGGGGGGGGGGGGGGGGGGGGGGGGGGGGGGGGGGGGGGGGGGGGGGGGGGGGGGGGACTGAATGGACAGCCATAGACTTCCTCTCTTTAGGGTAGAAACCTGACAATTATATTCTAATACAGCGACAACAGATTAGTAAGACACTAATTTTAACAATGGAACGTAAACAGCAGTATTTTAAAGATTCTTCGAGTATTTAGTCAATAAATCAATTTCTTTTAACATTGTGGGAGGCAAGGTAATGGTCTCAGGTGTGTCCCTGGAATCCATCAGTACAAGGATACATGGCAAAGAGGACTTAAGGTAGCAGATGGAATTAAGGTTGCAATCAGATGATCTGAAAATAAAGACGTTACCTTGGATTATCTGGACGGGCCCATCAGGAATGACATGGACCTTAAATAGGGAAGCAGAAGGCAGAGCATCAGATACAGAGAAATGGCATCAGGAGAAAGACTGGACCAGCCATTGCTGGCGTAGAAAGTGGGAGAAGGGCCGTGAGCCTAGGAATGTGGGTGGCCTCTCCAAGCTGGAAAAGGCAAGAAAGCATATTCTCGGGGCCTCCAGAGGAAGTGCACCCCTTCGGCCTTCTTGATTTTAAGCCCCTCGAGACCCGTGCCACACTTCTGGCCTCCCAAACCGTAAGAGAATTAACTGGTGTTGTTTAAGCCAGAAAACGTGTGGTAATTTGGTATAGCACCCATAGGAAATACATACATACACGTTACACTGTTACTAACTCACCCTTTTGGGAGAGTCCAATGTGTCCCCTTCTCCCGGAGCTTAGCACGCTTCTCTGAGCCCTCCTTTGCTGATGGAATCTTTCTTTGCCCTCCCAGAGGCCACTGGATTGGATGACACAGTAACTTTGCATTTGTTTTTCTGTAACCCGTGCTAGACCAAGGATTCCATAAAAGTAGGGACTGTGTCTTTAATCTCTCCTTTAAGAACTAGTTTCTAAACCTTTATCCAAAATTTAGCAGCAGCGAAGCAGCCTGTTCTAGGAGCTCGTGAATATTTATCCAACCACAGTGATGACGGACCCATTGCACTCCTACCTGGAAACCAGTTACAAAAATAAAGGGTTAAAAGTTTTATAAAATGACTTGTCATGAAAGATGTAACCCACGGACCAAAGAGCAGATAAAAGGTCAAACAGAGCCTGGACCTGACTGGTTCTGGGTTGTAACCAACACAGGTTCTGGTTACCAGGGACGGAGTCATTCACCAGGAAACAGTAGCATTTGAGTTGAAGTTAAAATATCAGAAGTATACAAAGCGGTTAGAATGTGAGTAACTTGGAAAAGAAACATTTGAAGAAAATAAACATTGTCTTTGGAAGTTCTCAGGGTTTCGTTTTCCCTTTTGACTTTATCGTTTCTACCTGGTGAAATCCTGCCATACTCACCACCTCTTTTCCTTTTCAGTAGTTTCTTCCTACTCACCACTCAACAAAATCATTCAGACTCATTCACATTCAGTGGAATTTAGGTGAGTGAGCATTTGCACTTTAAGCACTCCCACCCCCCCCGCACCCCCACCCCCTGCCATTTGGAACACAAGCCTGTCTCCTGCAGTAAATTACATGCTAAGGATAAGGTGCAGGTGCGGTACCTTTTCTGCCCTGGGCTCCACCTCTAAGACCTTGGGCGGGGAGGGGGGGGGCAGTCTGATGACTCATTCTGTAGTCTATTTATAAACAAGCTTGTTTGTTTTAACATTTATTTATTCTTTGAGAGACAGAGGCAGGGCATGAACAGGGCAGGGTCAGAGAGAGAGGGAGACACAGAATCGGAAACAGGCTCCAGGCTCTGAGCTGTCAGCACAGAGCCCAACACGGGGCTCAAACTCATGAACCATGAGATCATGACCTGAGCCAAAGTCAGATGCTCAACCAACTGAGCCACCCAGGCGCCCCTACAGTCATTTTAATCTTGAGGATGTCTTTATTACAGGAAGCAGAAACAAAACTCAAATCATGTGTATTAAAAGCATAGGTAAGAAAAGTAGAACTTTAAAGCCCTTTGAAGAGATACAATATCATTATTGTCTTGGGGTAGGTGCAGAGTGATTTGAACTAGCAATTCAATTTTTCCCAGATAAATTATAAGATTTATTGAATCTTTTCTCCACTGATCTACTTCTAGGTGTCTATTCCTGGCTTTCTTTATATTCCTTTAGCCTCTCTGCCTCTCTCTCTGTGCTCATATTAACACTGTCTTATTTGCTACAGCTTTTTATAGACAATATATCTAAAAGTCCTTACTAGAAAGACTTGTCTCAATATCTGCTAAAGTAAGTTTCCCACATTGTCCCTCTTCAAAACTGCTTTGCGAGGCCCCTGGGTGGCTCAGTCAGTTTGAACATCTGACTTCAGCTCAGTTAATGACCTCATGGTTCGTGGGTTCGAGCCCCGCACTGGGCTCTGTGCTGACAGCTCAGAGCCTGGAGCTGCTTCAAATTGTGTCTCCTTCTCTCTCTGCCCCTCCCCGACTTGTGCACTGTCTCTCAGTGTGTGTCTTTCTCTCTCTCTCAAAATACATAAACATTCAATTTTTATTTTTACAAAATTGCTTTCTTGTTCTTGAATCTTTTCTCCTTTATCTGTATTTTAGGATTATTTTGTGCTCCTGATTTGTTGAAATTTTTATTGAAATTGTATTTCTTTTTTGTTTGTTTTTAATTTAAAAAAATTTTTTGCAAAGAAATGGTATCTTTATCACACTGTGTTTCCTATCTATGAACATAGCCTGTTTTGCTATTGACTTATTCTTCATAAATTTCTTTCATTAAAGTGTTTTGTTAAGCATAATCAAATCACAATTAAAATCTCCTTTCGACTTGTTCCACTCAAATGAGAGTATATTTTTCTCACTCAGTGAGAGCTTCAGCCACCATCTAGCTTTCTTTCCTTACTAATTTGTGGTACATATGTGAAAAGCAATGGAAATCATTGTTTTCAGTATCTGTGGAGTATTTAATTATATGGATGTGTTATATTTTATTTAAGAAAACCCTTCTTGGTAGCCGTCTTTTCAATATTTGCTATAGTCAAAAAGACTGCAGAGAACATCTTTACTTATTCAGCGCTGCACCCTTGTGAGATACAGCCGTAGGATAATTCTCATGAAGGGAACTTTCTGCTGGAAGAGTGCACTCACTTAAAATGTGTACAAACAGTGTCCAAGTGCTTTCCGAAAGGTAAATAGAGAGAGTAGCACATAGTACCCAGAGCAGAAAAGTGCCTGGTCGCAAGAACTTCACAAGCTTCCCTTAGGTTTTATCAACTTGTTACATCTGACAGATAAAATAATGTCCCATTTTATGGTAGTGTACCTTTTCTTTAATGATGACTAATCCTGAACTTTTTTCCCACATCTGTATGTATAAATGTGCAAGGTCTTTAAAAAAACAATTATGATTTGGCATTGCCAAGAGGAAATCTCAACAACATCTGAGGTTTTCTGAGACAATTGTTCCAAACTCCTGAAAGCAAACTACATTCAAGGGGAGAGCTTTTCTCCAACAAAGGTGGCTATCAGAGAACGCACCTAGAAGCAGAAATGAAACTAAAATCTGCCAAATGAATGTGAATTTCTTCATTTGCATCATTTTATTTTATTTTTTTTTTAAATATTTTTATTTATTACTAGGAGAGAGAGAGAGAGAGACAGCGTGAGCAGGGGAGGGTCAGAGAGAGAGGGAGACACAGACTCTGAAACAGGCCCCAGGCTCTGAGCTGGCAGTCAGCACAGAGCCCGACGTGGGGCTCGAACCCACAAACTGCGAGATCATGACCTAAGCGAAAGTCGGACGCCTAACCGACTAAGCCACCCAGGCGCCCCCATTTGCATCATTTTAAACAGATAGAGAAAAAATGAAACTAAAGGCTGGAGTCGATGCTGTACCAACATCACAATTAAGACCCGAGATAACAAAACCATGAAACCTTAGGGTTGAAAGGAAACCTGCAGAAAAGCATGGCCCATTTTTACAGTTCAGCAGAACGGTGAAAGGCTTCGTTCAAACTCCTTGTGGCAAAGCTCAGGCTGGCAATAGATGACACACAATAAAGCCTTGTTGAGTGGACGAGTATGAGCGCTGGAGGGCTCGCTGGTTTTAGGATGGGGGTCTTTCACCTCATCCCATGCTGTTAGCATTGTTTGCTGACATTGTATACATTTCTATAATTTTTAAATTTAGAGGCACTGAGCCGATCTCTTACCTTGCATTTCCCCAAACCGTCACTTGTGGTTTATGACAGATTCTGAAATAAAGGATTTCCAAAGAGCACGCATCATGTGGAGGACATGCAATCCTGGAAAACCACATATGCAGCCAAACTACTGCGGGTCCTTCTTCAGGAGGTGAAGGAACCTCGACTTCTGTCTCAACTTGCTGGGGTGACATCACAAAGTACCACAAACTGGATGGCTTAGAACAATGGGAATGGACTGTCTCATAGTTCTGGAGGCCAGAAGTCCAAGATCAAGGTGCTGGCCGGTAGGCTCATGCTGAGGTTACGATGGGGAATCGGTTCCCTCCCAGCCTCTGCTGTGCCCGGCAGTCGTTGGTACTCCTTGGTTTATAGAATTGTCACCCTGATCTTTGCCGTCCCCTCCTCCTGTGTGTCAGGGTCTCCAAGTTTCTCTTTGTATTAGGACACTAGTCGCATTGGATTAGGTGCCTACCTAATAACTTCATTCTAATTTGATTACCTCCAGAAAGACCCTCTTTTCTTTTATTTCTCAAAAATATTTTTTAATGTTTATTTTTTGTAATTATTTATTTTTGAGACAGAGCATGAGTGGGGGAGGGGCAGAGAGAGAGGGCAACATAGAATCTGAAACAGGCTCCAGGCTCTGAGCTGTCAGCACAGAACCCGATGCGGGGCTTGAACCCACAAACCGTGAAATCATGACCTGAGCTGAAGTTGGATGCTCAGCCGACTGAGCCACCCAGGTGCCCTTTAATGTTTATTTTTGAGAAGCAGAGAGAGAGAGAGAGAGAGAGAGCATTAGCAGGGGAAGGACAGACAGAGAGGGAGACACAGAATCCAAAGCAGGTTCGAGGCTGTGAGCTGTCAGCACAGAGCCTGATGAGGGGCTTGAGAGCCTGATGAGGGGCTTGAACTCACAAACAGAGAGATCGTGACCTGAGCTGAAGTCAGACGCTCAACCAACTGAGCCACCCAGGCACCCCAAGACCCTATTTTCAAATGAGGTCATAACATTTCTTTCTGGGGAGATATAATCCGAGCTGTCGTACTCAAATATTCACTTGGTTGCCTTTCTACATCCCAGACCCCACGTCTTCTGATCATTGCTTATCACTAAAACAGTGAATTTCATTGGGACATTGGAGGTGGCTTTGAAACATAGGATACAGCATCCTGACAATTTTTTGTTTAATTTCTGCATTGCAGGGATTTTTAACATATATTGAGATTACATATGACTGTTAAAACTGTGGGTGCTGTTCCAAAATAATTATCTATAAATTCTTAGTGTGTGTAGGTCGCCATCAGTAAGGTTGTATCCTGTGGGAATCTACCAGTAAGTGGCAATTACTGGATTTATACAGCATCTGTTCTTCAGAGAGATCAAAATACCATAACTTCACAGTGCTTATTTTCCTAAACACTCACAGAAGGGTTAATAACACCCAACCCTCTCCGCAGGATCGCGGAGGCTCAGTAACCTTCGCCGCCCAGATTCTCCACGGAAGAAAGGCACATGCACAGAGCTGCTTCTGATCATCACCTGTTCTGGTTCAGCTGGTTTCTCCTGTGGATCAAGAGATGCTCAGTTACTTGCAGGATCCACAGCACTGCGAAGCGCTTTTGGGAGGCTTTTGGGGGCTTTTCGATGCAAGGTTACCCTCCCCATCATTGCCAGGGCAGTTATATGTTCAAACAGCTGGCTCCTGTCTCCGGAGGAGCCTTTCTTCGGTGCCAGAAGCAGGGCAGGGAGATTTGGGTCCATTTGCATGAGCGGGCCAAGGGAAAGAATGAGGTGGGGAAGGAAGAGAGAAGGCCAAGGCCCTGAGCATCTGCCTTAAGAGGTGGCGCCTCTCTCCGCCCCTGCAGGGCCCAGAGCCCTTCCACCCCATAGCGGCAGGGCCGGCCCACCCGCAGGATCTGCGCTCCCGGTTCAAGAAGGGCACGGGGGTCCTTCGGACATCTCAGAAGCGCGGCGCCTTCCCGGACAAGGCATGCCGGTGGGGAAAGCAGGGAGTCTGCACACTCTCGCAGGCGCTTTGTTGGGGGGGGGGGGGGGGGGGCCTGCGGTTCCCCGGGGACATCCTGGGCGAGAGCTGTCTTGAGGAGGAGGACGTCGTAGTGCCGTGGCCCTGGAAACCATCTGGGGCGGACCCTTGCACAAAGCCACGTAGCCGGGGCTAAGGCACCTGGCGCCCCGGGGCTCCCTAGCCCTCACTTAACTGCCCCAGGTAGGCCTGTGAGCGCGGAGGCCTGAGCAACCCGCCTCTCACCTGGCCGGCGTGAGCCCGCCCCTCCCGGCACAGGCCCGCCCCGCCCCGCCCTGCAAGGCCGGTCCTCAACGGTGCAATCCCCGCCCCTCCGCGGCGCGGTCCCCGCCCCTCACCCTGCTCGCTCCTCCTCACGCCCTGGACTCCGCCCCCAGCTACTCCCTCCCCGGAATCCTCACGCGGGCCCCGCCCCCGCCGTGCTGTTAAGCTCCGTCGCCCGCGACGCTCCGCCCCCATCGCCCCGCCCACCCCGTGCCCCACCGCCCTCGAGTCCCGCCCCGCCGCATCAGGAGCCCGCCCCTTTCCTCGGCAGCCTATTGGAGAGAGCGTTGCTGTGCGCGCTGACCAATGGAATCGCGGCCTGTGCGTCTCGCCCCCGCTCCCTGCGTCGCGATAAGTGAAGCTGCGTCGGCGTGTGCAGGTCACGAGCCATGTGGCGCAGCGGTGTTCGGGCGCCTGGTGTTCTGGACCGGCTGAGGGGAGGGTGAGAGCGGGCGGGTGGGAGAGAAGGAGGGAGGTCGGTCGGGGTGAGGCTGGCGGGGGCGGTCCCGGCGGTGGGAAGACTCTGGAAGGTTCTCCATTGTCGTCCGGGCCTGGGGCTGCCGCACCACCGCTCCTTTCTCTGGGAGCCCGGACCCGGAGACCCTACTCCCGGGGAGCGCGGAGCCGGGGCTGGGGAGCCCGGAGCTCTACCCTGAGGCCCATTTCCCGGGGAGCCCGCACCCCGAGACCCTTTACCGGGTACCCTTGACTCCCATGGCCGGGAACCTTAGCCCAGGCCGGGGAGCGCGGACCCGGGGACCCCGGAGCTCGACCCTGAGACCCTTCTCCCTGGGACCCCGGAGCTCGACCCTGGACCCTTCGCCCCGGGAGCCCGGACCCCGAGACCCTTCACCGGGTAGCCTTGACTCCCATGGCCGGGAACCTTAGCCCAGGCTGGAGAGCGCGGACCTGGGGAGCCCGGACCCCGAGACCCTTCTCCCGGGGACCCTGGAGCTCGACCCCGAGGCCCTTCGCCCGCGGAGCCCGGAGCCCGACCAGAGTCCTGCGGAGAGCCTGGATGAGGGCCGGCGCAGGGTCTTCCTCCCATCGCCTCCCCTAGCAAAGGAGGGGGCTTCCTGTGCAGTTGCCAGAGTTGTCTGGGCAAAGCGGGTCCGGGCCCAAGGAGGCCCCTGCTCCTGGGACCTTAGGCGACCCCAGAATGGGTGGCCCTGTATGCGGACTTTTGAAGTGAAAATGGGCATTGATTGATGTGGATTTTAATACGCGTGATTAAAGTAATTGTCGGCCTGTGGTTCTCATTAACCTGTCCGCCCCCGTGTTATTTATTGTGGGCAGGGAGTCGTCGAGACTTCCGTGTTCTTAGTACAACTGGAGCTTCCAGAAATGGACTCCTTTATGGAGAAAAGATAACACTCCAACCTTGAGTGTTCAAAGTGGGCCAGGAGTGTCCTTGCTGATTCGCAGAGCCCGGTGTGTTTTATGGTGCGGCTTCGCCGTAGGCCCAGGTGAAGAAGCCGGGGGGGTGCCCGTGCTGCGGGGGAACGTGGTTCCGGTGTCCCCGTGTGCTGCGCGTGAGCGTGGGTCCGGTGTCCCCGTGTGCTGCGCGTGAGCGTGGGGTCGGTGTCCCCGTGTGCTGCGCGTGAGCGTGGCGGCAGGGGCATTACTTACAGGTGTAGTCGGTGACCAGCATACATGCGGGAGACCCCGAGGTACTGGGGCTTTTTCTGCATGTTGGGTGCCAGCATTTATTTGCTTTTTGTGGTTGCGTTCTTGATGGTGAAGGACATGTGAAATCCTCTTCGGTATTTGTGGAATCAGCTGAGTCAGGAGGGAGGGTGTGGGTGATGATGGCCCGTCTTCCTGCTAGCCACTGACCCAGGTTGCTGTCGTTTCCCTTTTCTGCATGTATCTTTAGGAGAAATCGTTTTTGTGGGACAGAATGCTAGTGTAGAAAATTGTGTAACGCATATAGTACAGTTGTGTCCCCATTATCCAGGTTACCCCTAAACGATTGTGACTCTCCCTCCCTCTGTGCAGTCTCTCTCTGGTGTATTTCCTTGCTCTTCTTTATACCTGTATGTGTACGTGTGTATGTAAAATTATGTTCCAGTCACACAGTAGCTACCGAGAGCAGCTAGTTTATTTCACCCATCCCCACACCCTCCCCTCTGGTCACCATCAGAGGGTGATGCATTTTTAAAATGAAATTTTTTTTTTTATTTTTATACATTTATTTTGAGACAGCAGGGGGGGAGGGGGAGAGAGAGAGAGAGAGAGAGAGAGAATCCCAAGCAGCTTCTGTGTGCTGTCAGGAAAGAGCCTGACTCAGGGCTCGATCCCACCAACCGTGAGATCATGAGCTGCACGGACTTCAAGAGTCAGATGTTCAACCGACTGAACCACCCAGGTGCGCCGATAACTCTGATTTAAGTGATGCCAAATGCTATTCCAGAGTTGTTACCACCTGCGCAGCGAACCGCAGTGTAGGGGTTCCTGGTGAGGTCCCGTCTTACGCTTTACCAGTTCCATAGGTGTGTACGGAGCTTGTGGCAGTACTGTGTCCTGAGACAGAAAACGTCATTTCCACATGAGCGTTGTTTTTCTGCGGGTGAAGGAAATTGGTAGCATAGTTAGGTTATAGTTACTTCTGAGCGTTTATATATACAGGGCTTGCGACATGCATCTGTTAGTTGATATCATGAGGCTTTAGTTGAGCTGAGATAGGGGTCATAAAATTGAACAAACTTTACTAAACTACCGAAATTCGTTTTCTGGAATCTGTTTGGAGAATGTAAGGCTTAATTTGTCCTTGAATTGTCTTTATCACATAAAAATGTCCTCACGGTGTGGCTGAATGACACGAGCCACAGGCCTCCGCAGAAGCATCTAACCTTGATTTCCTTCCGTCCACGGGCAGCGCCGGCCTCGGAGCCCAGAGGAGGAGGGGCAGCACAGCCTGCGAGCGGGCACGGCGGCTCCGGGTGGGACAGCGGCTGCACGGCTTCACCGTAAGCCAGGTGCGTCTTGCTGGGGTGTGTGTGTGTGTGTCTGTGTGTGTCTGTGTCTGTCCCGGGCCCTGGTGGCCCCTGACTTCAGTGCGCTCTTCTGACTGGAGTTGCTTAAGTAAGTCCGGTTCCCGTCCCTGCCTTGATCCCAGCCTGCAAGCCTAGTGCCTCTTTAGATTTCAGGATTTCCATGCGTCTAGCGCGTGGATGTGTCTGGATACACTGCGCTGAGTAAAGATGGCCCCCATCTACCCCCATCCACCTGGGGTGTGTCTTCCTAGCACGAGTTTGTTCCGCACTCAGGCAAAAACTTTGACTTTGAGCCACTGGGGTTTCAGCATCATAGAAGGCGGATTGTGGTCCTGCATTTATTGAATGTTGTGTTCACCTTGTTTTTTTTTTCTTTTACACAGTAATTGAAAACTATGTATTTCACGTCACTGACTGGCCCTTGGCCTCATGCTGTGGGTGACACTTCTCGCAGGGGAGGGGCGGGCAGCACACAGCCCAGGAGGACACGGTGCGGCTGTGGTACAAGGAGAACATGGGAGGTGGGGGCGGGGGGCGTAGCGGAGGGACAGGTTCCGGGAGAAGGGAACGTGTTTCAGGGCAGCCGCCTGCCTGTGGGCTGACACTTCGGGACAGCAGTTCCGGGCAGGGCACAGGGACAGACAGAGGTGCAGGGGGGCGAGGAGGGGGGCCTCAGGAAGCCCCTGAGGGCCGTGCGGGGGGGCCTGGACTCAAGGTATGTACTGTTTGTGAGGACCTCCGAGTTGTTTCGCTCTGTTTTCAAGTCTTACAGAAAGTTATGAACACATGGTCCTCATTTGAGCAGTAGGTAACCTGGAGAGCTGTTGGGGGCAGACAGTTCACGTACTGGCTGATTTTAAATACGTCCGTCTAAGTTCCGAGACAGAAATACTGTACTAGTTGGAAACTCCGCAGGCCTTACAGGCCCCTGTAAGCAGTGTCATTTGTGTGGGAGCCCCCGGAACGCACTCGGGACCCCGGGGCTCCGACCTCTGCCCTGCCGGCAGCTCGCCGTGAGCACGGCTGAGTCACTTTCGCAGCCCCTGGAAAGCGGGGGTGATGAACAGTGTGGCTGTCGCAGTGATGCTCTAACGTGACTGAGGCAGAGAGGCCCCGGCTCGGCGGGACGACACAGCCTGGGACGTGCAGCTGTTTCTGCAGCGCCTTTGCCGGGCTCCGTAGCTGGGGACGCCCGTGCTGGGGTGACGGTGCGCTTGTTTGGTTTTTCCTTGTTTTTTTTTTTAATGTTTATTTGGGGGCGGGCAGACTGCAGGCAGGAGGAGGGGCAGAGAGGGAGGAAGACAGAACAGGAAGCAGCTGCAGCCTCCGAGCTGTCAGCACAGAGTCCAGTGTGGGGCTCGAACCCACGAACCGCGAGACCATGACCTGAGCTGGAGTCAGACGCTCAACCGACTGAGCCCCCAGGTGCCCCTCCTTAAGTTTTCTTAATGTTTTATTATTATTTATTTTAGAGAAAGAGGGAGACACAGAATCTGAAGCAGGCTCCAGGCTCTGAGCTGTCAGCACAGAGCATGAACCGGGATCATGACCTCAGCCAAAGTTGGACCTTTAACTGACTGAGCCCCCCCAGGTGCCCCAAAATATGTGCAAGTTTAAAAAGGAAGACCTGTTTTCAGCCTGTCAGGGAGGAAGCAGGCATTTGCTCTAGTCTTAGAGAGCTGCAGATGCTTGGAGGGAAAATACGCCCAGAAGTATTTTATGTAAGAACTTATTTATTCTTTTGTATTATTAAAAAGAGCTTTTTTTAGGTTTATCTATTTTGAGAGAGAGAGAGAGGGGGAGAGAGAATTCCAAGTAGGCTCCGCGCAGTCAACGCAGAGCCCCATATGGGGCTCGATTTCATGAACCATGAGATCATGACCTGAGCCAAAATTAAGAGTAGATGCTTACCTGACCAAGCCCCCCAGGCACCCCAGGATGCATTTGGTTTTATCGGTGGTGATTTGGACCATTCTGGGCCCCCACTCCCCAGGAGCAGGGAGCTGGAGAGAGCCCCAGCCCACCCCCAGAACTCCTTAGGACTCTAAACTAGAGAAGCGAAGCTCCGTCCCAGGGTGCCCGTTCTGGGCTTTCCTGAGATGCTGGGTAGACAAGGAAGCCACACCGCGGGCCTTGCCGGTGGGAGCAGGACTCCTCCAGAGCAGCCTGCTGTGATCGGTGGGTTCAGACGCCCACTCTGAGCCCAGCTCTGCACCTCAGTGTTCTCATCTGTAGATAGGGGTGAGGGTCCCTCTCCCACGGGATTACCGTGCACTCTTGAGAAGATGTCTAGCAAACAGTAAGCACTCAAAAAGAAGACGTGCATAGATTGTCAGCCCTAGGCCTTTGCTCATTCACAGGGTCAGGGTGTGGATGGGGTGGTTTCTGCGTGCCCCCAGCCGCGACATGCCAGCCTTCTGGTGCCGCCCGATTAGCGGCAGACAAGCCCGGCCCTGCAGTGCACGGAATGTCACCGCTCAGTGCTTCTCCGTCTGAGTTTAGGTCTCCTTCAGGTCACGGACATCCCCGAACTGTGCCTGACGGCGGTGAAGCTTAGCCATGACCGCACAGGAGCCAGATACTTGCACTTGGCCCGAGAAGACACCAACAACTTGTTCAGGTGTGTGGCGGGGGGGCGAACGTTCCGCAGAGAGCGTGGACCGAGCGAGACATAGTTGAGGGTCCTGGTTCAGGAATGTTTAGTTTTGTCGGCTGTGTCCTGAACACGCACGGAGAAGGGTGACTGAATGTGTGTCTGGAGCTATGGACCCTGCAAGTGTGTAGTGTGAACTGGCGGGTGTGTGCGCTGCGGTCAGGCTGCGGCGTCACGGTGGCTGGGCCGACAGCTGCGGGGTCACGGGCTGGGGAGGCGCCGCCCTGACCTCCCGCCGCGGGCCTGCGCAGCCTGCAGTTCCGCACCACGCCCTTGGACAGCACCGGCGTCCCCCACGTCCTGGAGCACACGGTCCTGTGCGGCTCCCGCAAGTACCCGTGCAGAGACCCCTTCTTCAAGATGCTGAATAGGTCCCTGTCCACCTTCATGAACGCCTTCACAGGTCAGCAGGTCGGCGGGCGTCCGGGAGGGGGCCGTGCCCACGGGGCTCCTCGGCGGGGAGGGCGGAGCGGCGGCTGAGCCCCGGAGAGATTGGCCTCCTCTAGTCCAGTGGGACGTGGCTGGACGTTTCATCTTCCAGGAAAGCCGCGTCGGGGTCAGATTGTACAAACTGGGGTCTTGGGGGTGGGGGGGAGGCAGCTGAGATGTTTCTGGAAAATTCGCCATAAGACTTGACGTCAGTAGCGTTACATCACTGCTGGGTGGTGGTGTTTGGAAACGGAGCAGCCGGTGTGAGCCCGGGAGTGCTGTGAGGGCCGCGGTTAACAAGCGCGTGGCATCAGCTTTCTGCGGACGGGGTCATCTTTCTAGGCATGGGACGGGATGCCTGTCCCGAGCCGGAGGGGCAGCCCTGGACAGCAGGGGCTCGCTGTTGGGGACGGGGTGAGGCTGCAAGAGGCTAACGCCCCTGGACATCTGGCGAATTCTAAAATCTCCTTTATACCCAGCTAGCGATTATACTCTGTACCCGTTCTCCACACAAAACCCCAAGGACTTCCAGAATCTCCTGTCTGTGTACTTGGATGCAGCCTTTTTCCCCTGCCTGCGGGAACTAGATTTCTGGTGAGTAAGGATGGACAGATTTGGGCACTAGCGTGAGAGTCCCTGTCACTGCGTGATCATTGATCGTTATTTAGGCAGGAAGGATGGCGACTGGAACATGAGAATCCGAGGGACCCCCAGACGCCCCTGACCTTCAAAGGAGTCGTCTTTAATGAGATGAAGGGAGCATTTGTGAGTTTTTCCTTTTGTAAAATTGTGTTGCAATGATCTTCCCGTGTAAAATATTGGAACATGAAAAGGTCTGGGAGAGAGTTGACGTTCTCTTACATCATTTACTGAGCTTGTGGTGTGGGTGCTGCTGAACTCACCGGGGACAGTGCCGCGAGCACCGGCCCGGGGACAGCGGGAGGCCACACTCCCGATTTCCTAGGACCCGGGTCCCATTCGCTCTTGGGCCCCGGCGTCGGGGCTGCTGCAGTCCGGGAGATAGAACTGCGTGCAGTGGCGGTAAGACGTTGCCATGGGTCCTCGTTCTTCCCCAAGTGCGGCCCCCAAGCCTGCGTGACGCGTCGATGGTAACGGCTTATTGGGCCCAGAAGCTGGAGGACCTAGCGGTCTCTTGTTAAGCCGGACACTGAGAAGAGTGTTTGCAAAATGTGCAGAAACAGCACCATTCGTCTCAGTATTTCTGCTGTTAAAAAATATCTGTGAACATGTAACGATGGGTTAAGATTATGAGTGAACAGGTGACTTTTAAAAGGTCTCTGCTTTGTTTGTAACAACAGAGTTATACACACACACGCTCCTATGTGTCAGGAAACCCGTGTCACCAAAAGCTCTTCGGAGGCCTCCCTGAGCTATAGGGTATGAAGGCCCCTGAGACCCAGCAGCGTGAGAGCGTCTCTCCGGGGCTCTGTCCTCACAGCCCCTTGCACTTTGGAGCTCTGCCCTCACACGGGCTGCTTCCCTAGGTGTTGATACTTGCTTTGAGCCTCTTGCCTTCCGGAACCTTCTGCAAACTCAAGTTTGAGTGACAGCCTTTGCTCCAGAAGCCCACAGATCTCTCCCTCAGCTCACGGCCAGCGACCCTTGCATATGGTGTTGCACACACCCCTGCCCGGCCCTCCGCTGTGTGCTTGGCGTGGGCCGTGCACACTGCACAGTATTTCTCTTCTCTTCCGGGTCCTGAGCAGAAACTGGGGGTGCGCGGCTTTGTTAGACAGTGTCTCTGCCCCGACATTTGCCACGGTGTGAGTCGCAGGGGTGTTACAGGCATGTGCTCCCCAAGTGTTGGCCATCTGCTGCGTCGTATCGTAACAACGCCTGTGTGTTATTTTATACTGACGTGTATAATTTTTTTAATTTGAAGACGGATAACGAGAGGATATTCTCGCAGCACCTTCAGAACCACCTCCTGCCTGACCACACGTACTCGGTGATCTCCGGGGGCCACCCGCTGTGCATCCCAGACCTCACGTGGGAGCAGCTCAAACAGTTCCACGCCACCCATTACCACCCCAGTAACGCTAGGTAATGCTTCGTCGTGGTGCTGAATTGGTGGTTGATCCAGAGTTGTTTGCACGCAGTAAACGACACGGCTTCTCCCGCACGTGGCCGAGAACCGTCCGCTCAGGAACCCGGGAAGCGTACTGTTTCCTCGCTCACTGGGTGGCTTCTGTCTGGTACGGTGATGCTCATTCTGAAAGTCTGCGGCGAGAACTTGTTATTTTAAAGCTTTGTGGTGTTACTTTAATTTTTGAAAGTGAGCGCGAGCAGGGGAAGGGCAGAGAGAGAGGGACCCCCAGACGCCCCTGACCTTCAAAGGAGTCGTCTTTAATGAGATGAAGGGAGCATTTGTGAGTTTTTCCTTTTGTAAAATTGTGTTGCAATGATCTTCCCGTGTAAAATATTGGAACATGAAAAGGTCTGGGAGAGAGTTGACGTTCTCTTACATCATTTACTGAGCTTGTGGTGTGGGTGTCTCTAGGGTTTTGTATGTGTAATGTGTCCTCTGCAAATAGTGACAGTTTTGGCTCTTCTTACCAGCGTGGATGCCTTTTACCCCTTTTTAAGGTTGTTTTGAAAGTGAGAGAGAGAAGCACATGTGTGAGTGGGGGAAGGGCTGAGGGAGAGAATCCCAAGCAGGCCCCGCACTGGCAGCATGGAACCCGATGCAGGGCGTGACCTCATGAACCATGAGATCACGACCTGAGCCGGAACCAAGAGTCAGACGTTTAACTGACTGAGTCCCCCATGCTCCCCCGTGTTCCTTCTCGTACCGATGTGATGTAGCACACTGATTGATTTGTGAATGTTGAATCATCTTTGCATCCTGAGAATAGATCCTGCTTGGTCATGGTGAATAATTTTTTTAATATATTGTTAGATTTGGATTGCTAATATTTTGTTAAGGGTTTTTGTATCAATGTACATCAGAGATAATGGCTGTAGCTCTCTTTTGTGTGTGATATCTTTATCTGGTTTTGGTATCTGGGTAATGCTGGCCTCATAGGATCAATGTGGAAGTTTTCCTTCTATTTTTGGGAAAAGTCTGAGAAGGATATTAACCTTGCTTAGATGTTTGGTAGAATTCGCTTGTGGTGCCATCTGGTCTGACTTTATTGGGGGTTTTCAGTTACTGACTCTTTCTTTCCTGGTTATTGGTCTGTTCGAATTTCCTATTCAGTTTTGGTAGTTTATATGTTTCTTGGGATCTATCCATTTCTTCTAGGTTGTCCAGTTTGTTGGCATATGGGTTTTCATAATCTCTTGTAATCCTTTGTGTTTCTGTGGTGTTGGCTGTTCTTTCTCCTCTCTCGTTTCTGGTTTTGTTTGACTCCTCCCTTTTTTGATGGGTCCTCCTAAAGGTTTATCCATTTTGTTGCTCTTTTGAAAGAAACAGCTCCTGGTTCCATTGATGTGTTCTATTTTTTTAGTTTTGTGTATCATTTATTTCTGCTTTAATCTATTATTTCCTTCCTTCTGGTTCGAGATTTTCTTTGTTGTTTTTCTAGGTTGTCTATTTGAGATTTTTTTGCTTCTTGAGGTAGGACTGTATTGCTATAAACTTCTCTCTTAGACCAACCAAAGGATTTGGGCCACTGTGTTTTCATTTTCATTTGTTCCCATATGTTTTTTTGATGTTCTCTTGGTTGACCCACTCATTTCTTAGTAGCATGTTATTTAACCTCCATATAAGTGCTCTTTCTGGATCTTTTCTTGTGATTGTTCAGGTTTCATAGTGTTGCGGTCAGAAAAGATGTATGGTATGACTTCAGTCTTTTTGAGTTTTTTGACAGTTGTTTTGTGCCGTATGTGATCTATCCTGAAGAATGGTCCATGTGCACTTGCAAATAATGTATATTCTGTTGTTTTAGGTTGGAATGTTCTGAGTATTTGTTGTATCCATTTGGTCCAGTGTGTCATTCAAAACCATAGTTTTTTTAAATTTTCTGTTTAGATGGTCTGTACATTGATGTAGTGGGGTGTTAAAGTTCCCTACTATTGCTGTATTGCAGTCAGTTTCTTCCATTATGTTTGTAATTAGCTGCCTTATGTATTGGATGTTTTTGTGTTGAGCACATTGATATTATAGTTACATCTTCTTTAAAATTTTTTTTTAATATTAGACAGAATGCACGCAGGGGAGGGACAGAGAGAGACATACACACGGAATCCTAAGCAGGCTCTGAGCTGTCAGCACAGAGCCCGATGCGGGTCTCAGACCCATTTCGTGTGTGTGTCTCTCTCCCGACATGAGGCTTGAACCCATGAACCGCGAGATCATGACCTGAGCCAAAGTCAGACACTTAACCAATTGAGTCCCCTGGCTCACCTGTAGTTGTTATATCTTCTTGTTGGGTTGTTCCCTTTATGATTCGTTTTTAATGTTTGTTTATTTTTTATTTTTTTTTTTTTGAGAGAGAGACACAGAGCATGGGGGGAGGGGGCAGTGAGAGAGGGAGACACAGGATCTGAAGCAGGCTCCAGGCTGTCAGCACAAAGCCTGATGTGGGTCTCAGACTCACGAACTATGCCATCATGACCTGAGTCAAAGTCAGACGTTTACCCACTAAGCCACACAGGTGCCCCAGTTCCCTTTATGATTACATAGTGCCCTCCTTTGTCTCTTGTTACAGACTTTGTTTTCGGGTTTATTCCATCCAATGTAAGTATTGCTACCCTGGCTTTCTTTTCACTTCCACCTGCATGGTAGACGTTTCTCCATCCTTCACATTCAGTCTCCAGGTGCCCTTCAGTCTGAAATGAGGCTTCTGTAGGCAGTGTATACAGGGGCTTGGTTTTTCTGTGTTCCATCACCCTGTATCTTCTGATTGGAGCATTTGGTTCTGTACGTTCAATTATTCATAGGTATGTACTTACTGCCATTTTGTTACCTGTTTTATGGTTATTTTCTATTTCTCTGTTCCTTTCTTTCTTGTTCTCTTACCGTAGTTGGTTTTCTTTAGCGATATACTTGGATTCTTTTCTGCTTGTTTTTTTCACATCTGTTACTGGTTTTTGATAAACAGTTACCGTTAGGCTTGTATCTGACCTCTTCAGCACATAGCAGTCTGTATTAAGTTAATGTGTGCTTCAGTTTGAACCCATTTTTTTTTTTTTTACCCCTCCTGGATATTTTAGGCATGTGGTGTCGTACTTTATATCCTTTTAAGTTGTGAGTCCCTTGACCGATTTTTACAGATAGACTTGTTACTGTTCTTGTGTTTCTAACTTTTCCTCCTCATTAGTGGTCTTTCCTTTCCACTGAGTCTGCTTTAATGTCTTGTAGGTTTAGTTGGGTAATCACGAACTTCTTTAACTTCTGTTCGCCTGAGAAACTCGATCTCTCCTGTTCTGAGCAGCAGCCTTCTGGGACAGAGCCTCGCTGGCTGCGGCGTTTGCCTCTCAGCACCGAGCACCTTTTGATGCTCCCGTCAAGCCGGCAGAGTTTCTGCTGAAAAATCCACTAGTGGCCTTATGGGGTTTCCCCTGTGTGTGACTTCATTTCGTGGCTTTTAAAATTTCCTCTTTACTGCTCTTTTTGCTATTTTAATTACTGGGTGTCTCGGTGTGGGTCTTCGTGGGTTGGTTATGTCAGGGGCTCTCTGGGCCTCCTGGATCTGGATTTCCTCTCCAGGTGAGGGAAGTTTTCAGCTCTTGTTTCTTCAGATAAACTGTCTGCCCCGTTTTGTCGCTCTTCTTCTGGAATCCCTATATTGCAGATGCTACTGTATTTGATGGTGTCACTGAGCTCTCTAAGCCTGCTGTCATTACACATACACACACACACACACACACCACTCAGCTTGAGGACGTTCCGTCTGCTTCCTGCAGTCTGCTGCTTCTTCCCCTTAGTGTGTTTCATTTGTTGCGTTCGTCATCTGATTGTTTCTTTTTGTCTGTGTTGAGGGTCTCACTGAGGTCCTCCACTCCTTTCTCAAGTCCAGTGAGTGTCTTTATGACCATTAGTTGAACTTCTCCGTCAGGCATGTTACATTTCTCCATTTTGCTGAAGTTTCTTGCTGCTCTTTGTCCAGTTCTTTCCTCTGGGACACGTCCCTCTGCGTCCTCGCTGTGCCTCGCCCTCAGGATCTGTTTCTGGGTGTTGGGAAGGTCAGCCGTGTCCCCTGCTCTTGACAGTAGTAGGCAGGTACACGCTTGTAACAAGGTGACACTGGTCCTCTGCCAGAGGGGACGTGCTGCTGTCCAGGAGACGGGTCAGCTGAGGGGACCCGCAAAGCGCACGTGCACAGGGCATGCAGCTTAAGGTGTGTGTGTCCTTCGCCAGAGGTGGCCAGCTGCCGTCAGCACCGCCACCCCACAGTGTGGGAAGGCACCCTGGTGTGCTGTGGGAGCCGAGCCCCGGGACGGGTTGAGGCGCGCCTGGCTGGGGGGCACCGCAGAGACGGTCAGGTCCCGGGTGCCTGAGCTCAGTCGGCTCCTGCAGGCGGCTGTCTGTGCGGGGGGGGGGGGGGGGGGGGGGGGGGGGGGGGGGGGGGCGCAGGGGACGGAAGTGGCGCCCACCTGCTCCTTTGTTCCTGGAGGAGTCCTCATCGTCCCTGTCTCTCCCTCCTGTGAGGCCGCTGTGCTCGTCTCCGCTGGCTGGCTGTCATCCTGTCACCTCCGGGTTCTCCCAGAAGGAGGCAGCTGGTGTTTAAAGTTCCAGGTTCAAGTCTCCTCGGTTGTCAGAACGCGTGACATCCGCCCCTCTGGTTCTCGCAGCCAGGTGCTCCGGGCTCCGTGTTGCTGTGTGGGCGCCTCTCCCCGCCCGCGGGCCTTCCTGCAGCAGACAGTCGGCTGGTCCACTTCACTCCCCACGGCCACCCTGCCCGCCGTCCCCCTGGGATGCGTTCTCTGCTCTGCGTGCAGCTGTGGCATTTGTTCTGCCAGCGCCGTGGTTTTCTGGCTTATTCAGCTCGACAGACCTGGGTCTGGTGGTGTCCGTGGGGTGAGGGGCTCGGGCTTTTCCTACTCTGCGTACCTTCATTTGATGCAGAAAGCCATCCGGGGAGGTTTCTAATCACGTCAGCTGAGCCGGACTCTAATATATTCTCTGAACATTTCAGGTTCTTCACGTACGGCAGTTTCCCGTTAGAACAGCATCTGAAACAAATTCAGGAAGAAGCACTGAGCAAATTTGAGAAAATTGAGCCAAATACTGCAGTGCCCACTCAGAAGCCTTGGGATAAGCCAGTAAGTGCCCATCTGGAGCACTGACACTCAGTGCATTGAGGTGGAGAATCAGACTGTGTGTTAATCGTAGGCTTTTCCAGCATTGAGGGCTCTGACTTGAATGTGAGAGCTTCTCGAGCCTAAGGAAGGGTTATTTGTTTGAGAAGAAAGTTAATTTAGTGAAAAGCATCTCTTTTGGACCACTTTATACATATACAGGTACCTTATACCAGATTAAACCTAGTTATTCACAGTTCGTACCTACTTAAAGCATCGTGTCGTTTTACAGAGAGAATTCCAGATAACGTGTGGCCCAGACTCCCTGGCTGCAGATTCCTCCAAACAAACAACCGTCGGGGTCGGCTTCCTCTTACCAGAGTAAGTGCCCGCTGCGACATCGAGAAGGTGCAGGCTGGCAGGTCGGAGGTGGGTTCTCCAAGTGCAGATGGTCGGCGGTCGGGATTTCCAGGCCCAGCAGCTGGCGGAGGGCACGGGGGTTTTAGCAGCCTCGGGGATGGTTCAGGGGAATTGACTTTCACTAGCCGTCCAGAAAAATGCCACTTCTCTTCTCACTACATTTTAAAGCTTATTTCTGTGGAGAAAGCTGGCTCGGACAGCAGTTAGCACTTGTGGGGGTGGGGCCTCCGATGCCATTGAGCGTGAGAGGAGCGCAGTGAACACGCGCTAGACGAAGACGTGCGACAGCCAGAGCTTGTAGTTGTAGAGAAGCAGACGCCTGGGGCACATGGGCAGGAGGGGTCCTCTGCCCGCTGCTGTATCCACGTGTGGATGGTGCAGCTTAATGAAGGGGAGACGGGTCAGGGTGCTTGGCACACTGTAATACGGTAGCATCCGACACGCGGCTAAATCCGCTCATGGTTTGGGACCCTAGATCAGCCTATTAGAGCTTTGCAAGCCAAACAATAATTATTCTCTCTTATCCATATACCTTAAAATAGAGGTTGTATTAGGTCAGCTTTGGAAATAGAAGTGTCAATTTATTGGTGATTGTAATGATTTTGAAAACATTAACGAGGGCCCCCGGCTTCTCTTTCTCCCCCATCCTTTTACGTTAAGCATCACTGATACGTTTGAAGCCTTCACGTTAAACCTTCTGTCCTCACTCTTGATCAGCGGGCCCAACTCCCCCTTCTACAAAGCCTTAATTGAGTCTGGACTTGGCACAGACTTCTCTCCGGATGTTGGGTAAGTTTTATGGTCACATCACTGGTTTGTGATCAGGGCCGGTTTTCATGCTAGCCAGTGTCCGGACACGACTAGGGAGGGTGTTGGCATCTGGTGGGTGGGGTTAGGGACGGAGGGTGCTCGACACCCACAGTCTCCAGTCAGCTCCGCTCCCGCCCCAAGCACAGAACTGTGTGTTGGGTTATGGGCCTGGTACAGATTCGCACATCTCCTGGAGGGGGCGCTTGGGAAAAGAAAGTAGAAAGATCGCTTGTTCAAGATCTCAGAGTGGCATACTGCTGCCCGTTTTAAAAGCCAGGTTGTTACTACTCTTTCAAATCGTAAAATTTTGTAAAAGCTCAGCTGTTCTGTTTCTAGATTAAATTCTGCCATAGCTCTGTGAAGTTTAAATGGTGTTGGGTTTTAGAAATGTTAAGTGGCCATGCATGTAACCGGGCAGTTGTATGTGCGGAACACATGTCTGAGGGCACTGCTGTCGTTGGCTTTCTCGGGGAAGTCTCACGCGTTTGTGGCCGTGTGGCTGGGAGCACGGGACCCTCCAGCGAAGCGCGCTGCGCCCGGAACGTGCCTGCTGCAGGGTCTGCCCTGTGCCACAGCTCGGCCCGTCCTTGTGTCGCAGGTACAATGGCGCCACCAGGGAGGCCTACTTCAGCGTGGGCCTGCAGGGGGTCGCGCAGCAGGATGTCCAGGCCGTCCGGGACCTCATCGACCGCACCATCGAGGATGTTCTCCAGTGCGTGGGGCTGTGGGCCGGCGGCTGGCCTTCTGCATCCCTGATGCTTTCTGCGTGGAGCCCCCCCTTCCCCCCCATCCTTGGGCTTTTTAACCTCATCAGACGCATATCCGTTCACTTATGGTTGTTCAGAGGTTCCCCCTGTGCCTCGTTGCAATATCATCTATTTCTTTTTAACATCTTCGTCTCCGTTTTCTAGGAAAGGATTTGAAGATGACCAAATTGAGGCTCTCCTGCATAAAATCGAAATACAGATGAAGCATCAGTCCGTCAGCTTCGGACTCGCCCTGACGTCTGTGTGTAACTTCTCACCTGCCTCCTTCCTCTCGGGCTCTGTTTGCGGGTTTTGTTTTGCGTTACCTATCGTGACCAGGGGGTGCCGACAGCACTGAAAATACAGATATTCACAGCGCCTTTCCTCTCAACCTGGAAAGCTGTGCTGTTTTGGATCTGATACGTTTATTTTTAACTTAGTTTTATAATATGTTGTGTCTTTTTACTAGTGCAACTGGCTATTTGAAAACTTATGTTTTTATGCAAGATAGATTGACACTAAAGACTTACGGAAAGAGGCCTATAACTGTTGATAGTTGGTAATTATGTTTTCTAAAAATACTTTTAAAACCCGTTCTTTATTTTATTGGAAAAAAACCAGATTTGAAATTTTCCTAACCAAAGAATGACTCAGTTTTTGTTTTGAACAGTCATCGGTGGTGTTTTTAAACATAGAGACTGATGTTTTAATAAAATGTCACGTGTGACTTTTACTGAGCAAACACAGAGCGTGCTGAGTAAGGTGCGCGTGGACTTGGTATCGTTGGCTGCAGTACATCGCCCCCTGCTGGAACCACGACGGGGACCCGATACAGCTCCTGCAGCTGGGGACCCAGGTGGCGCAGTTCCGCCAGCGCCTTGAGGAAAACCCAGACTTCCTGCGAGAAAAAGTCAGACAGTACTTCAAGGTAAGGAACTTGGAGAATTTATGTGAACGGGGACATCATTTCTTAATTATTAACTAATGTTCGTAATAACTTAAAAAATACAATTTTCCAGGTTCCAAAAACGTGAGAGTGTTTTTTATAGATGAATCCATGTCTGCATATGTATTAACAGAACATCTGCAGGCATTTTTCTCTGTTTTGTTGAAAGAAAGCCGACACTGTTCACCTCTCAGTTTTTTGGAAGGTTTAGATAAGAATTGGTGTTCACTTGTCATTAAAAGTTTGGAATTCACCGTGAAGAAATACTGTACTGGGGTCGTCTTCAATGGGGAGGCGATTGCGGTTTTGATTTTTGGTGATACTGATCCGGTGTCCTCATCAGTTACTGATCTTCCCAGATTTTTCTGTCTTCACACTTGGTAGGGGTGTGTTTTTAGGAATGTGTCTACCCTTCTAGGCTGTCCAGGTGTTCCCTGATCTTTCTGATTCTTGTGCTGTCATTGCTGATGCCCCCATTTCCATCTCCGAGTTTAGTCTCCCTTTTTTCTTCGTGTATCTAACGGTTTGTCACTTTGGCCAGCCTGTGTGAGGAAGTCTTAAGTGTGATCTGATTTTTATCGTTTCCTTTATCCTGTAGCTTTGTTCTGGGTGGGTCTCACTTCTCTTCACTGAACGTGGAGAGATGGGTTACTCATTGGGCTTTGTGGTCTTTCTTTGTTTTTAATGTACATGTTAACTGTATTCATGCTGATTTTGTGGGAATCCTGTAGTTTTCAGTAGGTTCTGCCTGGAGGTTTATCTGTCTCAAGGTATTTATTTAACCCGCTGTGTGTTGAGGAATGTGTAGTGTGGTTTCCCTGTGTCTGCTGAGTTTCCAGTTTTCCTTCTACAAGCAGCACCTCGGAGATGCTTGTGTGTGGTTCCAGGCCACCACGGTAGAGCGAGTGTGGAAATGCAGCAAGCCTCATGGATTTTTCCGTTTCCCAGCGCGTGTAAAACTTACGTTTACTCTGTAGTCTATTAAGAGCGCAGTAGCATTGTGGCAAAAAAAAAAAAAAAATACACATCTTAGTTAAGAAAACACTTTGTTGCTAAAAAAAAAAAAAAAAAAAGCCAACCACCTGAGCTCTCAGGGAGTCCTAATCGTCACCAGTGGAGGGTCGGGTGCCGGCTGTGACAGATCAGGGTGGCCATGGCCATCTCTGAAATCAGACAACTAGTGAAGTTTGCTGCAGCGACTGACCCTTCCTTTCTGGAAGGATTTCCTGCAGCAGGTGATGCTGTTTGGTAGCATCTGACCCACAGGGGAACTTTCAGAGTTGAGGTCAGTGCTCTCCCACATGCTGCTGCTTCACAGCCAAGTGTATGTGACATTCTAAGTCCTCTGTTGTCATTTCAAGAGTCTTGAGTAAATCCTGTCTCAGGAACCCACGAGAAGCAGCTCGTCATCCCTGACATTGCAGCCATTCAGCCTCATCGAAAGGCCCTGCTTCTGATTCTGGGCCTCTGGCTGTTTCCACCCCATCTGCAGCGACTCCCTCCACTGAGGCCGTGAGCCCCTCACAGTCATCCGTGAGGGCTGGGACTGACTCCCCCCAACTCCTGTTCTCCTGTGAACGTGGATATTCTGACTTCTTCCCATGAGTCTTGAGTGTGAATAGCATCTGGAATTGAGAATCCTTCCCAGAAGGTTTTCAATTTACTTTGCCCAGACCCATCAGAGGAACCACTGTCTATGGCAGCAATAGCCTTACGGAATGCATTTCTTAAATAATAAGACTTGAAAGTTGAAGTGACTCCTCGATCCATGGGCTGCAGCATGGGTGTTGTGTCAGCACTATGAGAAGAGTATTAGTTCCCTTACCCATTTCCACTGGGCTGGCCGGGCCCACTGGCCGTGAGGGGCTCGGGGGTGGCCGGGCGCATTGGCCGTGAGGAGTCACAATCTGTAAAGGGCCTCGGTGAGCAGTAGGCCTCAGCACTGAGGTTACAGCACTCAGGAAGCAATGCTGTAGACACACGTGCTGTCGTCCGGGCTCTGTTCCACTTACGAAGCGCAGGCAGGACAGACTTAGCGAAGTTTTGGAGGGTGCTAGGGTTTGTGGAAGGTCAGTGAGCACGGGCTTCCTCCCAAAGTAACCAGCCGCATTAGCCCCTAACAGGAGTCAGCCTCTCGAAGTTTAAAACCAGGCACTGACTTCTATCTACCTATAAGTCCGAGATGGTGTCTTCCCCTATATCCCGTTTCATCTATATTGATCATCTTTCATTGGGCGTAGCCAGTGTTAGTGCCTACCTGGCTAATATTGACCACGTGTCTGGAGAACTTGCCCCTCCACCTTGCACTGCGAGGTCACGGAGACGAGGTCACAGAGACGACTCTTAAAGCTCCACCAGCTTCAGGCATTTCTTCTGCAGCTCCCCCCCCACCCCCTACGCCTGCCCTCATAAACCTGAAGAGAGGCTGGCCTTGCTCTGGGGGAGATTTCGGCTTCAGGGAATGTTAGGATTTGATCTTCTATCCAGACCACTTGTGCTTTCTCCGCATCAGCAGTAAGCCGATGGCATTTCTTACTTGTGTGTTCCCCAGACCAGCACCTTGCATTTCCTTCAAGAGCTCGTCCTCTGATTCACAATGTGGCCGACTGGTGCAAGAGCCTGGCTTCTGGCTTCTCCTGACCTACGACACACCTTCGTCAGTAAGCTTGATCATTTCTAGCTTATTTTATTTTGAGAGTGTGAGAGAGAAGAGAACGAGTGCACAAGCAGGCAGAGAGAGAGAGAGAGGGAGACAGTCCCAGGCGGACTCCACACCGTCAGCACAGCGGCCATGGGGGCTTGACCTCATGAACCGAGATCCTGACTTGAGCAGAAGAGTCAGACGCTCAAACAGCCAAGCCACCCGAGCGCCCCTGATGGTTTCTAGCTTTTATTTGAGATGTGTGACTTTTCACTTGAAGACTCAGAGGCCATCACAGGGTTATTGTGAGGACTAACTTCAATATTGTTGTGTCTTAGGGGATAGAGAGGCCCAAGGAGAGGGAGGGAGGCCTGGGAATGGCCAGTGGGTGGCACAGTCAGGACGCACACCTTTAGCGATGAGTGAGGTTCACCGTCCTCTGTGGGTGTGGTTTGCGTCTCCCCAGAACAATCACAGTAGTGGCATCAGATCACTGGTCACAGATGAGCATAATAAACCTAAGGAAAATTTCTCAGACACCGCGAGGATTACCAAGCTGCGACGCAGAGACAGGAAGGGAGCAGATGGTATTGGGGAACGGCGTGCCACTAGGCATGCTCAGTGCAGTGCAGCTTTCAGTTTGTGTGAAAGATGCGGTATTTGTAAAGCTTGTTAACACAGAGCATGAGAAAATGAGGTACGTCCATGTAGAATACAAATTAGTCCTGTAAATTTATGAACATTCTGGTTATTTTTATGAAGGTTCTTTTGCCCACAAGTGAGCTACCGTCTGTTCCCTGCCTTCCCTGTGCTGTTGCTTTCACGCTGGTGACTTGGTGGTTGCATAGCTGGCAGCCTCGTCCCCCCATTTTGCCATTCCCCCCACCCATGGCAAGCATCAGTTCTCTGCATTTATGGCTGTGTTTCTGCTTTTTTTTTTTTTTTTTTTTTTTTAACGTTTGTTTGTTTTGAAAAGAGCCCATGTGAGCAATGGAGGGGGCGGGGTGGGGGGAGAGTGGCCCAAAGAGGCTCCACAGGGCTGATCCCAGTGCGGGGCTAAACCTCACAAACTATGAGATCATGACCTGAGCTGAGATCAAGAATCGGACACTCAACCGAGCCCCCCCGGCACCCCTCTTTCTGCTTTTGTTTAGATTCCACATGTAAGTGAGGACAGTTCACTTGTCTTTCTCTGACTTGTTCCATTTAGCATAATACCCTCTAGGTCCATCCATGTTCTCGCAAAGGGCAAGATCTCTTTATCACTGAGTAACAGTCCATTGAACATACAGCACGTCGTCACTGTTTGTCAGCGCACAGTAGGCTGCTTTCCTACCTTGGCTGTTGCAGGTAAAGCTGCAGCAAACACACGGGTGTGCGTATCTTGTCAAGTCAGTGTTTCTGGCTTTTCTGAGTCCATAGCCAGTAGTGGAATTACTGGGTCACAGAGTAGCTGTACTTTTAGGTTTTTAGGGAGCCTCCACACTGTCTTCCACAGTGGCTACGCCACTTACCGTTCCCACCAGAAGTGACGGGGCTTCTCTTTCTCCACATCCTCACCAACACCTGTTATTTCTTTTGAGCCCAGCTATTCTGACGGCTGTGAGGTAGTATCTCATTGGTTTTGATTTGCGTTTCCCTGGTGGTGAGTGATGTTGAGCATCTTTTCATTGTGTCTCTGGGCCGTCTGTCATCTCTGGAGAAGCGTCTCTTCTTGGTTATTTTATGCCAGCACCATGATGCTGTAATTACTCCTGCCTGTGCCATGTAACTTGAGGTTTGGAATTGAGATGCCTCCAGTTTTCTTTTCCAGGGTTCCTTTGATTATTCGAGGTCTTTTGTGGTTCTATACAGATTTTGGTATTGTTTGTTCTAGTTCTCTGAAAAATGCTCTTGGCATTTGAACAGGGATTGTATTAAATGTGTAGACTGCTTTGGGTGGTATAGACATTTTAACACTTTGTTTTTATCCAGCCTTTGAGCATGGAATGTCTTCGTTTGTGTCATCTTAATATTTTTTAATCCATATTTATAGTTTTTTGAGCATAGATTTTTCACCTCTTTAGTGTTTTCTTGGATATTTTACTGTTTTTTGTGTAGTTGAAAATGGGATAGTTTTCTTAATATCAGTTTCTGTTGCTTTATTATTAGTATATAGGAATGCAGATTTCTGTGCGCTGATTTTGTATCCTGGAGCTTTGCTGAATTCATGTACTAGTTCTGGTTGTTTCCTGTAGAGTCTTCAGGGGTCTCTGTATATGGTAGCATGGCACCATAAATAGTTCACTTCTTCCTCACCGATTCGGATGCCTTTTCTTTCTTTCTGTCATCTAATTGCTCT